TAGGGGGTTGAAGGGGGAGGGGGTGGAGATGGAGAGGGGGTAGGGGTAAGGGATGGGGTGGTGGTGGGGGGGTGAGAGGAGGAGAGGGAGAGGCGAGGGAGGGAGAGGAGGGGGGGGAAGGAGGGGGAGGATAGGGGAAGGGGAGAGGAGAAGGTGTAAGCATAAGGGAAGGGGTGAGGGGAGACAGAGGGGAGGAGTGACCATAGGGTAAGAAAAGAAGGGACGGAGGGGAGTTTGAGTGAGTATGGTGGAAGGGGGAGGGAGGGGTAAGGGAGAGGAGAGAAAAAGTTGTTGCGTAAGAAAAGGGAGAAGGTAAGGGAAGGTTAAGGCGTAAGAATAGCGAAGGGAGGGGGAGGGAGAGAGTAGGCTTAGGGGAGAGGGAATGGATTTAATAACTCATCGATTTACGGGTATGTCTCTATCCCTCCACATAGTCATCTATGCACCAACATACCCATCCATTTTCCTCACTGTTTGCCCACATGGCCGTCAGTCTACCTACCTCTCTGCACCCTATGTCCTTCCCTCCCTATGTAGATGTCCCCCTAGCTCCTTACCATCGCCTTCCCTTCACTCCGGCGTCCACACTCACCCCCCCCCCCCCTCCCCACAGATGGCTCACATGCTCGAGACCCGCCTGGTGGACCCCAGCAGCTACCGAACCAGCAGCGAGGACACCGACAGCGGCACCAGCAGAGGCGGCAGCGGCGGCGGGGGCTCGAGCACCAGCAGAGCCGACAGCCTGATGGACCAGCGCCTGCACCTGCTGACGGAGCACGTGGCGAGGATCGACAACAAGCTCTCGACCATGCAGAAGGCCCTCGACACCAACTCCATCTCCGCCGCGCCCGACGAGCTCATTGCGGCTGCCTCTGAGAGCTACCGCGTGGGCGTGAAGGTCCCCCGGGAGCAGATACTGGAAAAGGTGGGCACTTTTGGCGTTTATTTATTTTATTTATTTATTTTTTTTCAGGAGGATGGAGAGATTTTAGTAGGAAGTTATCTTGACGGAGAAAGCAGTCGATGATAACAATGAATAACTGAGAAGCAATCATAGCACTACTTTCAAAGAAAAATAAATGAATAAAGAATAAATAAAACAAATGAACAGAATAGGAGAGAAAGAAAGAAAAAGAAAGAAAACCACCGACCCGACCACTCATCCCTCTCTCTCTCTCTCTTTGCAACAGACGCCAGTCCTCGATCAACTGCAAGAATCGATGGACTCCTTGCGCGAGTCCGTGAGCTCCATGGACCGGCGGCTGCAGTTCCACATGGCCTACGTCTCCGGGGACCTCGAGACGCTGTCGGGCTCCGTCAGGGACATCCACGACGCCATCCTGGAGGAGCAGCATCCGACCACCGACGCCACCACGGTGCCGCCGGGGTGCGTGTGGCGCTTGTGTGTGTGTGTGTATGTGTGTGTGTGTGTGTGTGTGTGTGTGTGTGTGTGTGTGTGTGTGTGTGTGTGTGTGTGTGTGTGTGTGTGTGTGTGTGGTGTGTGTGTGTGTGTGTGTATATATATATATATATATATATATATATATATATATATATATATATATATATATATATATAAGTGATGATAAGAGAAGTTTTGTAGATTTTGGAAAGGAGTTGGTGTGAATTTTTATAAATGGCTACGTTAATGTAAAATATGTCTGAATTATTGAGTTGTTCAAAAAAAATAATGTGAGTGAACTTACTATTTGATAGAAATGTGATATACTTCACTTTATAATCTAAACTATTTTAGAAGAATTACTACTTTTCTTGAAGACGATATGGCAGAATTCAATAACAGTTGCCCTACATCTAGTTCCAGGTATAAACCGACTATTACATCTACCAAACCTACACCTTTCTCTTATTTCTGCGCGAACGAATTTAAGAAAATGAAAAAGAATCTCTCCGGACTTATCTCCAATAAAATATCCCATTTCCAGAAGCAATACGACCCGTCAGTCAGCGCCTCTGAACAAGATCGACTCCCTCGTGAACAAGATGTCCCCCATGGAAACCGTGTGGGAGAAGATGGAGGAGGTAAGTTAGCTGAACTAAGAGAGAGGCAGACAGAATAGGTTGTTCAGGGAGAGGCGCTTGAACAAAGAAACAAAGAGAGAGAATGGCTTGTTAAGGAAGGGTTGTTTGAACAAGGAAACAAAGATAAAGGGAATAAATTGCTAAAGGAGAGGTGTCTGAACAAAGAAGCAAAGAGAGAGAATAGGTTGTTCAGGGAGAGTTCTTTGAACAGAGAAGCAGAACATGTTAAAGGAGAAATATTTGAATAAAGGAACAAAGAGCGATAAAAATTGCAAGAGGGAAGATGTTTAAATAGGCAAACTAAGAAACGAAGTGATATTTAAGAGGCAAGTTGTTAGAACAAATGGACAAGGGAGTAAACAAAACGAGCTGTAAGAGGGAAGTTATTTGATTAAACTAAGAAAGAAAACAATGAAAATAAACTGGAGAGTATGACACAAAATGAATTCATAAAAAAAAACTAATACACCTGCTATAGAGAGGAAGATGAGAAGTCCCCTTGAGGCTTAATATGGAATATAACTTTTTGTTGTTGTTGTTCAAGGAAATGATACAGGTATGTGAATATAAGTTACTCCATTTGAAAATTTAGTACAAATACCACTATTCAATTATTTATGTATCTATTTATTTTAAAAATCATCGAAGGTACACATATACACGATAGAAGTGATAGTTTTTTTTTCTAAAATATCTATTTTCAAATACACGATATCATCAGTGCGTTGCAAACATTCTTAAAGTAAAGTCATAAAAAATCGTTACCTTTACTTGAGGTCAATGTGGAGCTGAATATTTCACTCTGTTAACTTCGGATTACGGTGCTAACTACCTGCTTCGCTATTCCACACCACTTCGTCGATTTTTCGTATTAGTTTGTGCAAAGGGTAACGATGCTTATTTTTTTGACTGTGCAACCAATAATATCCCAGGTACAGCCCACGCATACCTGCTCTCGCCTCTCAGGTCAGGTTACCGTTCGCACTTGTACACTGTTCACCCCCCCCCCCCCCCCTGGAAGATTTTGCTCTCTCCTTCGTCGTTCTGCGAAATAGGAGAAATAGGTTTCCGAACAGGACGCAGTGTCTAACAAAATATAGCTACAACATAATGTTACAGGATATTCTATCAGTACAGCTACTGACAGAATATCCTGTAATATTATGCTATAGTTAGTTTTTAGACATTTATTCCAGATACAGTTAGAGGAGCTATATTTTTTTTCTTTTTATAGAACTTTCTATATAGCTGGAATTTGATCAATTTTCTCAAAGACTCTCTGAAGTGACCCGATGAGCGTGTGATCACAGGTGGGTCGCAAAAACACCAGTCTTTTTCTCTCTCAAAATGCGAATCGAACCATCGGTGCCCACGTGTTTTGATGCTCCCAAGTTCTTGCAAAATACCTGCCAGGCAGATATCTTTTCTAATGCTGACAGCGCGAGCCGTATTATAATTAGTAGAAGTATCTTCATTATTATTACCATTGTTATTATTATTATTGTTATTATTATTATTATTATTATTATTATATATTATCATTATCATTATAACCATTATCATCATTATCAACATCATTAACATTAATATTTCTGTCATTATCTTTATCATTATCATCGCATCTACTATTGTTGTCTTCACTGTAATTACCTTTTTGTTATCACTATCCCCAACATGAGCCCTCCTCCCCCTGTTCCAGGTGTGGGACGTCGTGGTTGGCACTAAGAGCTCCGTGGACGTGCTAGTGCCAAAGAGCGAGGCACTCCTGAACACGTCGCAGAGGCAAGAGCGAGCGATTTCGACCATACAGTCCGACCTCACGGAAAAGGCCAACCGCATCATCCATAATCTTGGACAGGTTGGGGAAAAGTTTCCTGCAGACTAATTAAAAAAAAAGTTTCTTGCGTGTGACTGGGGGTGTTGTATGTGTGTGTGTGTGTGTGTGTGTGTGTGTGTGTGTGTGTGTGTGTGTGTGTGTGTGTGTGTGTGTGTGTGTGTGTGTGTTGTGTGTGTGTGTGTGGTGTGTGTGTGTGTGTTGTGTGTGTGTGTGTTGTGTGTGTGTGTGTTGTGTGTGTGTGTGTGTGGTGTGTGTGTGTGTGTGTTGTGTGTGTGTGTGTGTGGTGTGTGTGTGTGTGTGTTGTGTGTGTGTGTGTGTGTTGTGTGTGTGTGTGTTGTGTGTGTGTGTGTGTGGTGTGTGTGTGTGTGGTGTGTGTGTGTGTGGTGTGTGTGTGTGTGTGGTGTGTGTGTGTGTGGTGTGTGTGTGTGTGTGGTGTGTGTGTGTGTGTGTGTGTGGTGTGTGTGTGTGTGGTGTGTGTGTGTGTGTTGTGTGTGTGTGTGTTGTGTGTGTGTGTGTTGTGTGTGTGTGTGTTGTGTGTGTGTGTGTTGTGTGTGTGTGTGTGACTATCTTTATTATTATTACCATTGTTATTATTATTATTGTTATTATTATTATTATTATTATTATTATTATTATTATTATTATTATTATTATTATTATTATTATTATTATTATTATTATTATTATTATTATTATTATTATTATTATTATTATTATTATTATTATTATTATTATTATTATTATTATTATTATTATTATTATTATTATTATTATTATTATTATTATTATTATTATTATTATTATTATTATTATTATATATTATCATTATCATTAGTAGTTGTCGTAGTAGTAGTTGTAGTAAGAGTAGAAGCTTTAATAGCTGCAGGTAAACAATTTTTGAGTTTAAGAAATTTAAATACTTATTTGCCTGCAAGACAATATATTTACAGTACATATTATTACAATACGCGGTAAGGCAGTCTGCTAAATCATATTATATTTTACATGCTGTAATATATATCAAATTTTTTGTATCTTACAATCAAGTCATAGTCTTCGTGCACATAGTAAGTTATGAATTTACTCTGATTTACTTTAATGCAAGATTTTTCTTCAGCACTTCCACGAAAAAATAAAATGTTATGATAATATAATCCAGTATTCACTTTCTTATAATGTTATTCCTTAGCACACACCATTATCATTCTACCAGTCATATTTTTCTTTTACACAGTCATCATCATCATCATTTCCCCCACGCTATTATCATTCATAATATACTTCAAAGTGTATTCACTCTCATTACACACTACGCACTACCACCGCACCACATACTCCCCACAGTCACCACTCTCGCCACAAGCCCTCACCCCCACCACAATACCTCCCCCTTCACCCCACCCCATCTGAGACACGCCTACACATTTCCTCTCGACCGCCCATCGGAAGAGAGCAAACCAAGCCGTTCTTAGGACGTTACAAACGAACTAAATAGGCCTCCTTGCAGACCTATTTAATGGAGAGGAATGTAACAGATGCGCCCACGACCACCGAGAGAACGCCCGTGGGTCCCTCAGGGTTGGTGTTCCCCTCCGTGCAGAAGAAACCGGTCATTCTCAACACCACGTTCATGATCAACGAACTGAACGACCAAAAGAAGGTAAAACATAAATAAGGAATGGAAATAAGTGTTGCCTCACGTTCCTTGGAAAGGGAACCTGTGGAGGAAGTGTCCGGACGAATGACTCTGAGAGGAGGCAGGTTCTTTGTGTGTGTGTCGGAGGGGATTGTCATTAATATGATTATCATTATCATTAGTAGTTGTCGTAGTAGTAGTTGTAGTAAGAGTAGAGGCTTTAATAGCTGCAGGTAAACAATTTTTGAGTTTGAGAAATTTAAATACTTATTTGCCAGCAGTACAATATATTTACAGTACATATTATTACAATACGCGGTAAGGCAGTCTGCTAAGTCAAGCTCTTTTATAAGTAGTATTAACAGTAGTAATGGTTGTAGTAACAGCAGCAATGGTAGCAATATTAGTAGTAGTTATGCAGTAGTTAAAATAGACATGGTAAGTGGGAAGCAAGTCGTAATACAAGAAAATGCAAATAGAAGACATTCACTTTGATATTAGTAGTAGATTAGCTTATTCAAATAACATACCTAAAGAACGCATTGGCATTCAAAATAGTGGATACTTATCTGAATTACCCACAACCTAAATCTAAGCTAAGCTAAATATAGTATTTGTCTAAAATATAGTGTGAATATATATCTACAAATCTATAAAGCCTCCATCTAAGTAACTTTACTTAATAAACACATGAATAACTTCAACATATGTCTAATTAAGCATCTACTGAAGACGCGCTTTCTTAAATAACATCATTTAAATAGCCTCTCAGTAGCTAGTATTATCAACGTAACGCAGTTTATTAATATCTGTCTAAAATGCCTAAATCAATTACTAATCCCTATGACGATTTCTCCTCCATCAAAATAACCTGACCTCTCCTGACCTCTCCCCAGCAAGGGTATTCGTGCGGTGACCTCAGCAAGAGAGGCATGGTGGAGAGTGGAACTTATTATCTCAAAATACGTGGAACGACTTACTGGTTCCTGAAGGTCTATTGCGACATGGACACGGCAGGAGGCGGATGGACGGTGAGTGACGGCGACCTCCGCTTGTCTGTGATTGTTTATAGTGCCATAGGGTGTGCCATAGTGTTTGTGTAGAGACAGTCATACTTGCCCTTATAAGTATATATTGTTTCCTTTTGTCTCACTATCTACGACTTTTGTCTATTTGTGTGAATGTTAATATGATATCCATCATGTGATGGTCTAATTCTATCTCACTCTCTCTCTATCTATATTGCATTTGCTGCCTGCATGTCAGATTATCAGCATTATCATTTTTTCAGAGTTCAAGTTTATATATTTGTATATATCTACATACATACATACATATATATATATATATATATATATATATATATATATATATATATATATATATATATGTATATACATATATATATATATATATATATATATATATATATATATATATATATATATATATATATATATATATATATATATATATATATATATATATCCACACACACACACACACACACATATACATATACATATACACATATATGTGTATATATATACATATATAAATATACATACATATTATATACATACATACATATATACATACACATATATATTTATATAAATACATATATATAGACATACATACACACATACACACACACACACACGCACACACGCATATATATATATATATATATATATATATATATATATATATATATATATATATACTACGTATGTATATGTATTTATATACATATACATACATACACACACACACACACACACATACACACACACACACACACACATACACACACACATATATATATATATATATATATATATGTATAATATGTATGTATATATATATATATATATATATATATATATATATATATGTATGTATAATTATATATGTACATATATCCCGAAGTCCCCAATCCCCCTTTGGCGCTGCCCCCCCCCCCTTCCCCCCCAACCAGCCCCTGACCCCGCCCCCACCCGCAGGTGATCCAGCGCCGCGACGACTACGGCGAGCCCCGCGAGACCTTCAACCGCGAGTGGGACGACTACAAGCACGGCTTCGGAAACCCCGAGGCGGAGTTCTGGCTCGGCAACGAGAACATCTACATGCTCACCAACACGGACGACTACATGCTCAGGGTCGAGCTCGAGGACTTCGACGGGAACAGGAGGTGAGGAGGGGGGGAGGGGAGGGGTGGGGGTTGTTCGAGAGTTTTGTCTTACGTGTCTTTGGCACACGCACATGCAAGCGCGCAGACACACACGTGTATAGGTATATATGTGTGTTTGTGTGCGTGTGTGTTCGCGTGCGTACGTATGTGTGTGTGTGGGAGGGGGCGGGGGTGTATTATTTTATCTTTATACTTTTTTGGCTATTGTGTTCCTTTGTTTTTTTAATTAAAACTTTGGTTACTTGTTCTGTTTCTCATGTTTTTGTTATTTTTTTAGTCTCATTACGTTTTCCCAGGAGGTATTTATATCATATATTTCCTCCTATTTTGGGAAGTGTATTGTCAGACAAGAGAACTTCGTTATCCCTATTCCTGAAGCAAGTGTATCGTAGTGAAGATCAATTACCGGCAGCTTTTTTCAAAGTAAATTATAAAAAAACCCAGAAATTCCAATCAAATCTAAAGTAAGCAATTAGGATACCAATCATAGCTGAGCACGAGCCTTGCCACCAGCCAACCCAAATAACGTGTCCGAAACACCTACTCGACGCCACCCGCAAACTACAAGATCGTTCCGTCACCCGCAGATACGCCGAGTATTCCACCTTCAAACTCCACAGCGAGCAGGAGATGTACAAACTGGAGATCGGAGGCTATTCGGGCAACGCGGGAGACTCGCTCAACGACCCCTGGTATGGGTCCAATCTCAGCCCATTCTCTACTGTCAACAGGTAAGGCTCCGGTTTCGAACGTTCGGAAACGCTTTGGAAACGTTCGTGTTTACTCCTGGGTGAACGTTTGCCTTGGCGTGTGAGTTGGTGGGGCCGGGGAGGTGGGGTGGGGGTGGGGAGGGGGGGTAATAGGGGTGAAATGATTGAGAGTTGTTCAGTTAGTTGGATTTTTGCTTTTTGCTTTTATATATTCATTTAATTAATTGGTTCTTCTGTGTGAATATATATACATACATATATAAAGACATATACACACATATATATAAATGAATATATATATGTATATCTGCGTGTATGTGTGTGATTAGGTATGTATATGTGTACGGTTTTATGTAGTTATATGTGTGTCTATGTGCGTATGTATCATTATTTAATCATCAATGCTTTAATTTTGGTTGAATCTGTATACGGGAAATATTTTACTAAAATCATTTCATTGTGCAGAATCATTTTGGCAATTTAGATATAAGATGCCTTTCTCAGGGGGTAAGCGACTGGAGACACTGACAGTGATATTTTAAAGCAAAGCAAATACTTAAGAAAACAACCACACACACACACACACACACACACACATACACACACACACACACACACACACACACACACACACACACACACACACACACACACACACACACACACACACACACACACACACACGCACACACACACACACACACACAAATAAACAAACACACACACACACGCTCACACACACACACACACACACACACACACACACACACACACACACATATATATATATATATATATATATATATATATGTATATATATGTGTGTGTGTGTGTGTGTGTGTGTGTGTGTGTGTGTGTGTGTGTGTGTGTGTGTGTGTGTGTGTATATATATATATATATATATATATATACACACATATATATAGTTATACATATGAATGTCTTTTTTTAATTCATATACTCGTCCATTCACACACCTAATGAAAGTATATTCCATATATATTTATTTACTTCCCAACCTTTGTGCTCCCCAGACCCTACCCCCCCCCCCACCCCCCTCTTCCCATTTGTACTCCACCTCGACTGCTCTAGACAGTGTTGCCCACTTGGCGGCCTCCGAGTTTTGTGTTTCAGATAAAGGCCGACGTTGTTTTCACATGACGAGGTGACGGGGCAGCTCGAGAGGGACTTGGGATGCAGGAGACACGACTCTGCAACAGCCATCAGTCAATGTGCAACGGGAACGCAGCCCCTTTTGAGAATTTGTGGTTGTGTACTTGCAAAGAGGATTTAAAAGAAAGAAAGAAAGAAAAAAAAAATCGTTGATGATTGAGTTCTCCTCAAATACGTTTTTGTTTTTATATATTTTTATTCATAAACTAAGTAGAAACATTCAATTTTAAAGATGAGATTGAGAAAAAATAGCATTACGTAGCATGTCATACTAGATCCTCATCAAGCAATAAAACAGATAATTTACGTCAGATCAGATGAGGAGTTTGGAAGGTTTCGAAACGTAAAAGTTTATTGTTCTTTTTTTTCTGCGTTTCATTTCATCTTTTGACAGCATTTGTTTTTGTTCATAGGTGAATAACTGTATAACTGTATATATATATATATATATATATATATATATATATATATATATATATATATATATATATATATATACATATACAAATACACACATGTTTATGTATGTATATATATTAGAGATATTTTAGGAAGGTCTTATTCTTATCTGTTTTAACCCATTTCGCCGAGTAATCACAATGTCTACTATATATATATTTTTTGTGAATATTGTTTGCACTGAGATGGCTCCACAAGAGCTCAGTCACCTGGTAGGCTTACGTGACATCACCTGATTTTCCATTTCGTTGAAGTGACAATACTAACAGGAATAAAAAAATCCGATATTCGAAGCAAAGGGTAAACAGGTGAGTTAGGTAAGAATAAGGAGTGACTCCTTGATGATGAAGCACTTGTGGAGCCATCTATGTGTAAAGACAGTAAACAAAAACCATAGTGGACATTCCACGCCTTTTTGCCATCAAAGGGTTGCAATATAGTGTTATAACGTTTTTATTGAGTTATTTTCTTATTGTCGCGATTTTTATTTTGAATATGTTTTCCATTATCATTATTTATGATTCAGTTTTCATTTCATTGAGGAGAATTCTTTCATCGTAGACACTTGTAGATTAGAAGGAGTAGATGTGACGTATAGTGCACTGACCTGGGCTGGTAGAAGTAGATTAGTAGATTAGCAAACAGAGGAAGAAAAATACTGACTGACGGAGAACAGTGGACTGCAATAATGATTATCAGTTAGTAATTATTAATTCAAGGAAGTTTTCTCGTTACTGGCGGAGCTAAAAAGATCCTGTAGTGTGCTTTATTGGGGTTCATATTATATCCTGTTAATGGGATTTCTATAATTAAAAAAGGAACATTGGTTTACTAACATACATATACATATACCAATACTGTACCTATAGGGTATTATCAACAATTCTTAGATACACACACACACACACACACACATATCTATCTGTCTACATATATACGTGCACACATGCAAACTTCCTTCATTTCTGTTAGTCTGATAGTCTGTATCTCTCTCTCCTTCTCTCCCTCCCTCCCCTTATCCCTTTCCTTTCCCCTATCTCTCCCTCCCCTCCTCTCCTTCCTTCCCTCCCTCTCTCACCTGTTTTCCTATTTTGTTGTCCAATTCGAAAAAAAAAAAAATCTTTTTCTTAAGGTTTCACATTTTGTTTATCCTTGTCCCTCATCCTTGTGTTGCATTTCCCCCTCTCTCGTTGCTTTTTATCGCTTTTCTTTCTTATTTTACTTTCCCTACTTTCTCATCATTTCCCTTCTCTCTCCTTTTTCCTCTCTTCCCCTTTCGCCTCCCCATCTTTCCTCCTTCCGTCCTCATAACCGTCTGCCCACAAGCCTTCCTAACAACAACTAAAGTAACAAATAATCACCATGTTTTCCATTTGTCGCCTCTTCCCTTCTCTCTTTCTTTTTTTTTTTTTTTTTTTTTTTTTTTTTTTTTTTTTTTTTTTTTTTTTTTTTTTTTTTTTTTTTTTTTTTTTTTTTTTTTTTTTTTTTTTTTTTTTTTTTTTTTTTTTTTTTTTTTTTTTTTTTTTTTTTTTTTTTTTTTTTTTTTTTTTTTTTTTTTTTTTTTTTTTTTTTTTTTTTTTTTTTTTTTTTTTTTTTTTTTTTTTTTTTTTTTTTTTTTTTTTTTTTTTTTTTTTTTTTTTTTTTTTTTTTTTTTTTTTTTTTTTTTTTTTTTTTTTTTTTTTTTTTTTTTTTTTTTTTTTTTTTTTTTTTTTTTTTTTTTTTTTTTTTTTTTTTTTTTTTTTTTTTTTTTTTTTTTTTTTTTTTTTTTTTTTTTTTTTTTTTTTTTTTTTTTTTTTTTTTTTTTTTTTTTTTTTTTTTTTTTTTTTTTTTTTTTTTTTTTTTTTTTTTTTTTTTTTTTTTTTTTTTTTTTTTTTTTTTTTTTTTTTTTTTTTTTTTTTTTTTTTTTTTTTTTTTTTTTTTTTTTTTTTTTTTTTTTTTTTTTTTTTTTTTTTTTTTTTTTTTTTTTTTTTTTTTTTTTTTTTTTTTTTTTTTTTTTTTTTTTTTTTTTTTTTTTTTTTTTTTTTTTTTTTTTTTTTTTTTTTTCCTTTTTTTCTCTCTCTCTCTTTCTTCTTTTTACGTTTCTGTTCTTGAACCTTTTTCTCTTGTTTTTCCCTGCATGTATCTCCCTCCCTCTCTCACCTGTTTTCCTATTTTGTTGTCCAATTCGAAAAAAAAATCTCTTTTTCTTAAGGTTCCACATTTTGTTTATCCTTGTCCCTCATCCTTGTGTTGCATTTCCCCCTCTCTCGTTGCTTTTTATCGCTTTTCTTTCTTATTTTACTTTCCCTACTTTCTCATCATTTCCCCTCTCTCTCCTTTTTCCTCTCTTCCCCTTTCGCCTCCCCATCTTTCCTCCTTCCGTCCTCATAACCGTCTGCCCACAAGCCTTCCTAACAACAACTAAAGTAATCAATAATCACCATGTTTTCCATTTGTCGCCTCTTCCCT